TGTTGTTTTACTTATGTTCTTAATGGTGTTTTATTTTTAAAATTTTCTTTTTTTATAAATTAAACTTTTAAAAGTTATGTATGAAGAATAAAGATTCTCCTGGCCATCTCTGTTCTCCATCCACGCAGATTTCTCTTAACTCCTTACAAGTAAACCATGATTTTAAGTTTCTTATATATTCTTCCTACATTTTTTATGCAAATACAAGCAAATAAGAATATTTTTCTTATCCCTCCTTTTACCCCCTAAAAGGTACCATACATACACCATTCTCTGTTATCTTGCTTTTTTTCACTTGACAGTATATCTTTATTTTTGTGAAAACTAGACCATCTAAAAATTTGTACGCTCATAATTACTTGATAGCATAAAAGGTTTTCAGTCTCCATCACCTAGCACGATTACTTTTCAGAGAATATACCTTTGGCAGAGTTTTCCTTAGGCTTATTCGTGTGATTTTAAATATTTCCCGCCTGCCTAGCTCTAAGGAAGAAAACTTGGCACCGTTTTCAGAAGTCCCAGAGTTAATAAAATAGCTCATATTTTGGCCTTTATGTGTACAGAATTTATATTTCTTAGCACACTGAACAGTTGTGTTCTCAGTTTATTAGCTCTAGCTGGCTAATATCTTCAAAGCTCCCTTTTATCATTTGTCTTCCACGGGACCCAATTACTTGACAAATAGGAACATTTAGTTACCATTAAATTCTGAAAAAACTGCCTGTTTGTTTTTGTGGTCAGTATTTTCATCTTCCTTACTTAGACTCCTGCCAAACTTCCCTACGTTTCCCCTTCCCACAGAAAAGTAAACAAAAATCCACTCAAACCCTTACTTAGTAAGCCACCCTCATGGAATGAAATTCAGGAAAAATTTTGTTTCAGTAAAACAGTAAATATGAAGAACTTCATTACTTCAGCAAAAGTATAGTTAGAAAATAAAAATAATGATTGAAGGATACTAACAGGATCATAAAGGAGCAAAAAAGAGAGAAAGCAATTGACACTGTCAGAGGATGAAGTTGAGTTCTGCTTTTTTCTAGTTGTTCAGGGCCTGTGGCTCAGAATATGTGAATCAGTATAGTAACTGTAGTGGAGACCCTCCTGTGGTGTGGTGGTGATTTGTTAAATTGTGAGACACCATATATAAAATTACTTCTCCCAGATTCCGCTTCTGAACTCTGAGCTGCAGTTTCCTTTGTGAAGTTTCATCTAGAAAGTACTTGTTTAAGAGTTTACTGGTGGATATTGGCTCACGTGCCATCTGAAAGTACTGGATGTCTCTTTAAATATAATTTTTTTGGATGAAGGCAAATTTTGTGAAATCAGTAATGGAGAATGATTTTGTATTCCTTTACCATTCATCTATCTAACAAATGCTTATTGAGGCCTGTTATGTGCTAAATGGTGGGGAGAGCCCACCATTTAGAGCCCAGTGTGCCTACCTGCTCTTGGCAGTGCCCACATATTGACTCCCTATGCTGCGTTTGATGGATGAGCTTGGTATTTAGAATGAGTGGTCTTGGGTTCAAGTCCTGACTCTGCTATTTATTTGAATCGTGAGGCTTCAGGAACTTGAAACTCAGAGTCAGTTCTTCATCTGCAAATGGGGTACTCCTGCAGGGTTGGTCGAGTGAACTAATCTGTGTGGAAACATGGTGCTCTGCAGTGGCCTATGGCACTGTCCTTATAAAATACATACACTAGTCACTCTGCTGGATCCCTTGCATTTTCTAGTTGCATTCTCCTCAACTGGATTTGGGAAAAATTTGGTGTGGAGTTTGTGAGTCATAGAGATGATGATACCTCTGTCCTGTTTTCTCATTTTTTCCCCAGGGTGCTCTCAGCTGCACTGTTTCATTTGATCGTTAGGTTAGGGAGATATTTTTCCTTTATAGATGAGGACGTCATACATGTTGAAGTTATACGGTGGAACGAGTGGGACTAACCACTGATCCCTGGCCCACTGGCCTGTCCACTGCCCAGTACTATCCCTTGGACTGGAGAGGCCTCTGATCAGCACAAGAAAACTGTTTAATGAGAAGCAGTTAAGAGAGCAGTCTCCGAACCATAGTCTTAATTTCAGATTCTTGCTTCTCCACTATGGCTATGCAGCATTAAGCAAGTAACTGGAATCTCTGTAATAATATGCCAGAGGTTTGGTTAAATGCTGTAATTAAAAGAAAACCAACAGCAGGTATATAACTGTAAAAACTTAATAGAACATGGAAGATTTAGGCTGGGAACCTGTTAACCAGCTGTTCATCGTAAAGGATCTGAGAGGAAGCAAGAGGACCCACCCAGATAATCAATTCCTAATTAAGAGGAGCATAAATTATAGGCGACAAGGATGGGAAGCATTGCTTTGATTCAATTTTACTTTTTATTTTTGCTTTCTTTTCTAATTTGAGCTGTGCTGGGACATGTGATGGCGAGAGGTAGTGTGTAGTGTAGTTTAGAGCAGGCACTCTGGAGCTAGGCAGACTGAGTTCAAACCCTAACAACCCCACTACTGGCTACTTAACTGCTTTGTGCCTCAGTTTCCTTATCTGCAGGAAAAAATGAGTTAAATATGTGTAAACCTGAGTTTTAAATCAGTACTTACCAGATAGTAAGCAATGATGATTTTAAAGGGGACTTTTGAACCGTTTCATCTGCAAGAGAACATCCGGAGACACAGGAATAGAAATGATCCGATCAGACTAATTAAAGGCTTTTACTGAGCTTTGAGGTCCCAAGCAGGGCACACTCAGTGTCAGCCTGAAGCTGTGAAGAAAAATCTTAAACATAAGGTGGGTGTTTTTCCTTTAGGGGAAGTGGAGAATTAGGCTAGTAATGTAAGCAGTGAGAGGTTATAATTCATTATGGTTGTGTTCTGTTTTACTTGGGAGAAGGCTCCAGAATGGGCTCCCTCCTGCTGGTAGATATTAGGGATTCCTCTTTCGTTGACTGGCTCAGCACCCCTTTCAGAATTGTAGGTTTCTGAGAGTTTGTAATGAATTTCTGGCTGGGGCTTCTGTGTCTCTTCTGCTTTCCCATCTGAGGCACCGGACAGGGTGTGGACTGTCTCTGCAGCCCTTTTGCTAGGCTTAGCCATCCATGTCAGCTCCTCCAAGCCGGTTTAAAATCTTGTCACTCTTTCCAGCAAAGGCTCCACTTTTTTTTTTTTAAAAGCATTTGCACTTTTTTTTTTAAGGAAGATTGTCCCTGAGCTAACATCTGTTGCCAATCTCCCTCCGTTTTTCCTTTTTTCTCCCCAAAGCCCCGGTAGATAGTTGTATGTCATAGTTGTATATCCTTCTAGTTGCTCTATGTGGGACGCCGCCTCAGCATGGCTTGATGAGTGGTGCATAGGTCCACACCCAGGATCTGAACCCGTGAACCCCAGGCTGCTGAAGCCGAGTGCACACTTAACTGTTATGCCACCGGGCCGGCCCCTCCACCTTTTTTTTAGCCTTTTTTTTTCTAATTCTGTTGAGGTAAAATTGACAAATAAAATTGTAATATATTTAAGGTGTACGACATGGTGATTTGTTATGTGTATACATTGTGAAATGATTCCTACAGTCAAGTTAGTTAAACACATACATCACCTCACATAGTCACTTTTTTTTTGGTGAGTCTACCTTCTATTTCGTTGAGTATATCTCTATGATGTAGTTTCATTCTGGATGCAAACCTCGCGGAACCCTTCCAGAGAAGTTAGGATGTCCCTTGCAGCAGATACCCTACTTCAAGAACAAAGTGTCTATTGAGTCCCTACTATGTGTGAAACACTTCCAGGGCTTGCTTACAAAAATGAGTTAGAAATTGAGTGTCCCTGGGGCCGGCCTGGTGGTGTAGTGGTTAAAGTGCGCGCCCTCCGCTTCGGCAGCCTGGGGTTGGCACGTTCGGATCCCGGGAGCGCACCGATGCCCCGCTTGTCAAGCCATGCTGTGACGGGATCCCGTATAAGAGTAGAGGAAGATGGGTACAGATGTTAGCCCAGGGCCAGTCTTCTCAGCAAAAAGAGGAGAATTGGCATTGGATGTCCTCATAGACACACACACACACAAAAGAAAGTGAGTGTCCCTTTTCTTCATGGTCCCACAGACTGGTGATTGAGCAAGCATATACACAAATAATTTGCTCCTGTTTTAGGATGGCTGAAAAGAGGTGAGAATAAAGTGTCTTGGAACACAGGAGGCCAAATCCCAAGCTCAGAGGCTTGGGAAAGCTTCGCAGAGCAGGAAATAATTGAGTTGGAGCTTGAGAATGAGTGGGGATGAACGGTTTGGAAGAGAGAATAGTTCACTTAGGTCATTAAAAACTCCTTGAGTGCCTACGTGCTGGGTGCCAGGCACTAAGTGTAAAAGAAAGGGACATTGAGGGCCGGCCCCGTGGCTTAGCGGTTAAGTGCACGTGCTCTGCTACTGGCAGCCCGGGTTCGGATCCCGGGCGTGCACAGATGCACCGCTTCTCTGGCCATGCTGAGGTGGCGTCCCACATACAGCAACTAGAAGGATGTGCAACTATGACATACAACTATCTACTGGGGCTTTGGGGAAAAAAAAAAGGAGGAGGATTGGCAATAGATGTTAGCTCAGAGCCGGTCTTCCTCAGCAAAAAGAGGAGGATTAGCATGGATGTTAGCTCAGGGCTGGTCTTCCTCAGCAAAAAGAGGAGGATTAGCATGGATGTTAGCTCAGGGCTGATATTCCACACACACACACACACACACACACACACACACAAAAAGCTGCCACTCCTATAAAAAAAAAGAAAAAAGAAAGGGACGTTGACTGCTCACTCACTCTGCTGTCTCTTCTGTACTGCTCACTTTATTTATTTTATTACTTTTTCTTTTCTGAGGAAGATTCTCTCTGAGCTAACATCTGTGCCAGTCTTCCTCTGTTTTGTATGTGGGTTGCTGCCACAGCATGGCTGACAAATGGTGTGGGTCCGTGCCCTGCAACTGAACCTGGGCCGCCAAAGTGGGGCATGCTGAGCTTCACCACTAGGCCACGGGGCCGGCCCCTGTGCTGCTCTCTTTAAAGCTCAGTAGCTGTTCATTTACCAGGTGACTGGCACCTGCCCCAAGCCGCCTGTGGAAGCACTTGCTTAGCTCTAAAAGCATCTCTTCTGCAGCTTTCCTGACAGCCCTGTATATGCGTTTCTGGAGCTGCCATGACAAAGTACCACAGACTGGGCAGCTTAAACAACAGAAATTTATTGTCTGTTAGTTTTGGAGGGCAGAGTGCAAGATCAAGGTGTTGGCAGGGTTGGTTCCTTCTGAGGCTTTGAGGGAGAATCTGTTCTAGGCCTTTCCCCCTGCTGCTAGTGATTTGCTGGCAATCTTTGGCATTCCTTGGCTTGTAGATGCATCACCTCGGCTGATCTCTACCTTCATCTTCACATGGCTTTCTCCCTGTATTCGTGTCTGTGTCCAAGTTTCCCCTTTTTCTAAGGATACCAGTAATATTGAATTATGGGCCCACCCTGGCCAGTATGACCTCATCTTAACTAATTGCATTTGCAATGATACTGTTTCCAAATAAGCTCACATTGTGAGGTACTGGGGGTTAGGGCTTCAATATGAATTTTTGGGGGCCACAGTTCAACTCATAACACCCTCTCTCTGCTCTTTCTACATTCCACCACTGTACGCTTTCCCCCTGCTGATAGGTAAGTAGATTTTTGTGGTGACACCAAGAGTATTTGATTAGATTTGTTTATCTATCATCTACTACTCATTTTATAACTTTTCATCTCTGGTGCCTTGCACATAATGTGGAAAGTAGCTCTAGTGGAGATATATTAAGCACCAGGAGTTAATAGAAATAAAAGAAGATAATGCAGAGGTCACCTCTTTTCTTGTCATCCTGCTGACTCTTCCAAAGGCTGTCTGGAGTTGGGTGTCAGGTGGCCAAGGACACCAGCAGAGGCTGCCCCTTTTATTCCAGCCCGAGCATATTTGATGCCTCTTGGTTTATTTTTCATAGAACAATAGTTCATTATCAACTGGCAGTCATTATGCTTTCTGAGATATGTTTTAAGAACATTTAGAAACTGACAAGACCCTCTGGGTCTTCTAGCAGACACTTTACCCACAGAATTTGATAAGGGCTATCTTCCTGTTTCAACCTTTGGTTTGAGTGTTCCACCTTTAGGGATTCAAAAGTAAATCATGTGAATGGTTGGAATAGTTAGCCATTAGCAAAATGTCTGTGCCAGAAGGGAGATGCCAACAAATAATTGAATCTGCCCCAAAGCTTTATAATTAGCTCATTAGGTATTTTAGAGAAATTTGTCTCTAAACCAGAAATTTGTCTGGTTTCTGAAAGGATGGATCATCCTGGGGCTGGAATACCTTTGCTAAGAAAGAATATTCCAGGGCACCCTTTGTTATTTCCCAGTCGATAAATAACATGCTAGGCAAAGTGGTGTCTTCTGGGACATTAGCAAAGAGATATTAATCTTAAAATATCCTTTCATCCCAATGTCAGTAATATCTGTCTGAAAGAACATGCTGAAATATGTTCATCTGAAGGTAGGCAGAGACTAGCTTATGTAAGGTCTGGAGGTACTTGATTCTAAGAGCAAGGAAAATTCTGGAGCATTTCAGACACATACAAAATAAATAGCATAGTGAACTCTGTTTTATCCTTCATCCAGCTTTAACAGGTATTAACTCACGGCCAGTCTTATTTCTTTTGTGTAACTCTTACTCTCCCTCCACCCCGTATAAGTTTTAGGCAAAGTCTAGATGTCATAGTATTTTATCCATAAATATTTTTGTATGTTTCTAATATAACCATAATATCACACCTAAAATTTTTACCAGTAATTCCTTAATGCCATCCAAGTCTAGTTAGTGTTCAAATTTCTGATTGTCTCGAATGTCATTTTTATATTTTTATTTTATGGTTTTTTGAATCAGGATCCAGCTAAGGTCCTCCTCTTAGCTGTCAGGTTTTAAGCAGGGGAGTAAGGGACATGATCTGACTTACCGTTTTGAAACTCTCTCTGCCCTAGCTGTGGAGAATGGATTGGTGTGGGGGTTGTTAGGAGACTGGAAGTAGAGAAACTATTTCGGAGGCTATTGCGTGTCCAGGAGGTGAGTGGTAATTACCTAGATTAGAGTGATGTGGTAGGGATGGAGGAAAGTGGATGAATGCCAGACGTCACATGGGCGGGCCAAGCTTGTCATGGTTCATCCAGACTTTTGGGTTCTCTTGGGTGTGTATGTTTGTTTATTTGAAAATATTGTTCCCAGAGATTTCACTGATTAGGTATCAACATGTTAAGATTGGTTAAATCTTAAAATTTTTACACAGGCAAAATTATAGCGACTCTATAGAATATTGAGATAGAGAAACATCAATCTATACTTCTCTTTAATCAGTTTATTCAACTGTAATACACCTTGTTTGCCATTATATCATCTTGTCTGTGTGTGATTATAATTATAATATTGATAACATTATATAATAGAATAGGAAATTTTATAGTTTTTCACTTAAACATGTCATAATCTCATGTATCTTAGCTAAAGAATCTTCATAGTTCCATAATATTGAACAGATTTTAATATTTATGTTACAACCCATTGTGTATTGTAGGACATTGACTCTTCCTACTTTTTAAATTATTTTATTCTAAATTACTCTAAATAATGTTGCCAGAAATTTTTTTGCATCTGTATTTTTCCATTTCTTTTTTAAAATTTTACATTAAGTAATAACTTCTTTGTAGAGATCTTTCTAGAAAAATTAACTATCTTAACACACTCTTAAAAACTAAGTTTATGAGGGCTGGCCCCGTGTCTTAATGGTTAAGTGTGCGCACTCCGCTACTGGCGGCCTGGCGTTCGGACCCCAGGTGCGCGCCGATGCACTGCTTCTCCGGCCATGCTGAGGCTGTGTCCCACATACAGCAACTAGAAGCATGTGCAACTATGACGTACAACTATCTACTGGGGCTTTGGGGGGGAAAAAAAAACAAAAGGTGGAGGATTGGCAATAGATGTTAGCTCAGAGCCGGTCTTCCTCAGCAAAAAGGGGAGGATTAGCATGAATGTTAGCTCAGGGCTGATCTTCTTCACAAAAAAAACAAAAAACAAAAAACTAAGTTTATGAAACCTGAAACCGTAATTGACAAAAACCAAGTACAGTTTTTATACTTTAAAATGGAATTACGTTTATTCTTGATTATTGGGCTCAGAATGTGTGTGCTTTGGTTTTGATTTAAGTTTATAGCTTCCTTATTGAAGGAATGGAACGCATGCATATCTGGTCTGCAGTCTTTATCTTATCCCATTCACATGGCAATTTGTAATAAAAAGAGAGCAATCTCTGCCTCATCTTGAACATGTTGGTTTTACAAAGATTCTTTTCTTTCCGTCAGCCCTGGGAACCAGGAAGTAGCTATAGTTGCCTCTAAAATGTTCCAATATCTTCATTTACTGATGAAAATTGCTTACAATTGGGACTCATTTAGAAATAGAAAAAAACATAATACTGTATATGCTTTTCTTTCTTTTTTTTTAAACACTGAAGTAAAACATTTTTATCATTGACTCAGAATGTTCAGCTTTATTTACATCTAATGAAGAAATGTAGGACAACTGTCGTTTTGTTCTTTGGGTCATTCTTTTAGAACAAACCAAGTTCAGGTAAACAGATTAAACTAGAATTTTTAAAGGATACATTTAGAGAAGAGTAGTTTTTTTTTTTTTTTAATTATTTTATTGAGATCATAATGGTTTATAACTAGAGAACAGTAAGTTTTAAAGACTACATTTAGGTCATTGGTTCGTTTATTCTGTGTTGACTTTTAGTCCCTGATTGTTTCATTCTTTGTCTTCAAGTCCTTGAAATAGTGTCACTTCAAGCATGCTGCTATTTCTGTTATATCTTTATGTTTCTGAAGAGCAATATCCAAATTTATCTTTTTCTTTAAAAAAATTTTTTTTTTCAATTCTTTGGCTTTTGGTACCACAAAATATATTTTGTATAAACAAACTATTCTTTAAAGCCTTGCTATTCAAATTGTCCAAGTTCAGTGGCATTGGTATCAGTTGTGGCCTCATGAGACATGCAGAATCTCAGGCCCCATCCCAGACCTACTGAATCTGAATTTATATATTAACATGATTCCCAGGTGATTCATTTGCACGTTAAAAAGCTAACAGTACCCACCCCCAGATGCCCAAGGTTGGGCCGTCCTCTTCAAGGCCAGTTTTTGCACCTATGCCCTTGATTCCATCCCTTCCCATCCCTTGGGGGACATTGTTCCCACTGCTGCTTCTGCTGCCACCCACTATCATCATCATCATCATTTAGAATATGGCTTAGAGGTTAAGACACAAGCTCTGCAGCCAGATGGCCTGCGGTTGAATTCCAGCCCTGTTACTTCTTAGTTGAGTGACCCAAGTTTCCTGCCTGTAAAGAGAGGAAAACAATAGTATATGAATAAATAGGAGAGGTGAGAGGAGAGACACAAGTGAAGAATGATGTCTGGCATACAGTTCCAGCTGCTCTCATTCTCTTTCCCCTTATCAGTAACATTATTTTAGTTATCTGTTGCAGCATAACAAACCATCCTAGGACTTTGTAGCTTAAAATAATTATTGTATTATTTGTGTCTCATGATTTTGTGGGTCAGGAATTTAGGCAGGGCTCAACTGGGCAGTTCTGTTGCTTTATGTGGCATCCACTGAGGTCACTTGATGATTTTCGTGGTTTTTAATTGTTATTTTAATTATTAAGTTGTAACAGTTCTTTATATATTCTGGATGTAAACCTCTTCTCAGATTATATGATTTGTAAATATTTTCGCCTATTCTGTGGGTTGTCTTTTCACTTTCTTATGTATCCTTTGAAGCAGAAATGTTTTTAGTTTTGAGGAAGTCCAGTTTATCTTTTTCTTCTTCTGTTGCATGTCCTTTTGGTGTCATGTAAGACTTTGCCTAACGCAAGGTCTTGTAGATTTACTCCTTTTTGTTCTAAGAATTTTGTGAGTTTTGCTGTTACATTTAGGTCTGTGTTCCATTTGGAATGAATTTTTGTGTGTAGTGTAAGGAAGGGGCACCAGCTATTCTTTTAGTTGCTAATTTAATCAACTCTTTTAAATCCTTACCTTGCTTACTCTCTGTGTGGCTTGAGGAACTGTTGTTCACTCACTCTCCATTAAAACTCTCTGCCTATGGTTTCTGAAACTATTTCTCATCTTGTCTCTTTATCCTTTCCTTCTTGTTCAAAAAATTTTTATTTACATACCCACTTTATGCTAGAAACTGTTCTAGGTGCTGGTTTAGCTCCCGCTTCTCAATTTATATTCTTCTGCTGGCTTTCCTGGCTTTAACTACTATCTCTTTGCTGATGACTTCTGAATTAACACTTCTGCCTTTCTCAGTGAGTCTGTCTCCCTTGTCAGACTGAGTCCAACTTCCCCAAAGTGAGAACCACATTTAATTAATTTTTGTGCCCATCACAGTGATTGGACATAATAGATGCTCAGTAAATGCTGCATATATATTGTTAAAGCTGTCATTCAGTATTTTATAGAAACAAAATAGAAATTGAACTGTTTGTGTGATTAGTATGAGTGCCGTTTAGAGATTTAGTAGTTAAAAGTAAATATAATTTAGTGCTTTTGAACATCATTTCAAATAAAAGATTAGAATTAAAAAGAATGTAAAGTAAGTAGCCATATCAGCAGACTTTTACATTTGAGCCATTTGGGCATCTTTTTAGGTTATTCACAAACTAGGGCATGTTGATATTTTCGGTGCCTGCTGTTGTTCTTTGAACCAAAAAGATGGTGTTAATGAGGAGCATTTCCCGTCTTCATGAATACAGATGTGTGAGTAGCTTATCTCCTATTGCTCTGCTTGGAGAATCCTTTGCAAAATCCTTTGCAAAAAATTGCTAATGCTTCTTTGGAAAAATATCATAAATCAAATTTCTCCAGAAATGAGCTATGCTGCTGTTAGCAGATCTTGTCTGTGTGGGACGATATTTTGACTTAAAACTATCTCGTGGTCAAAATTTTAATATCTAGTTCTTTTTCAGTTTGTCAGAGGATGTAATGGCTTTGTTAGATTGTTCTCCTGTCGTGTGCTGAAGAATAATGACAAGGACAGAAAATGCCATTGGTTAGTAGAAGGGTGGGAGATGGCTGATCAGCCTTGGGCCTCGGAGGCCACAGAGAAGCCTCACACATCATGGCTCCAACTGGTCAGTCAATCAGAGCGTCCTCACTCTGAAGATTGTATTTATTAGACTGATGTGCTCATTATGAAATGCTGTTAGACATTGATTCAAAAATAATACTTTCTGTTATTTTGATTCTGTAGGAACCTAGAAAGCTTGTGCAATGAATGGTGATACTCGGGCCGCAGTGGTGACCTCACCACCCCCAACCACAGCCCCTCACAAAGAGAGGTACTTCGACAAGGTGGATGAGAACAATCCAGAATATTTGCGAGAGAGGAACATGGCACCAGACCTTCGCCAGGACTTCAATATGATGGAGCAAAAAAAGAGGGTGTCCATGATTCTGCAAAGTCCCGTAAGAGAAGCTTTTTCTCTGACCAAGTGTCTTCTTTCTTCCAATACTTCAGCTCTTATGCTCTGTTGTATGTGTTATAGTCGGTTTATCTTAACATAGGAGATCAGTGCCTTATATATATGTGTACGGCTCTTGAAAGAATTCAGTTTAGTTCAGGTTACCAGACACAATAAATGAAAAACCTTTAGTATCATAAAGGATAGGAGCTGCTTATTTCTCCTTTTTGCTCTCTCACTACTTCTTCAGAGAGTCTTTATGTATTGGGACAATTTAAAAATTATTTCCAAAACACCTAGCTTGGTGCTAGGCGCTTAGTAGGCCTTAATAGTACCTGATTATTGATTGAGTTTACCTTTAGTTACGGTCAGCATTTTGAACCACAATCATGCCCAACTAAGTGTTTTCTTTTTGCACCTTTAGGTAAAGTAGTGCTGTCTTCAAAGTTTTCTCATGTTGGTGCTGCTCCCTTTGTGTGTGCTTCATTCTTTTTTTCCTTCTAATCTGTTCTTGTTTTATTCCCTTAATATTTTGGGGTATCATTTGGCAGATATTCATTGAAATTTTTTTTTTAATGTTGATTATTTCTTACGTGCTGAAAAGGAACTGGGAATTTAGCAGTAAACAAGATTTATTAGGCCTCTGATTCTAATAGATTTTATTTATTTGGTTGTTATTATTCAAATTTTATTAAAGTATGACTTACAGTAAAGTACACAAATCTTAAGTATACAGCTTGATGAATTTTGACATATGTGTAACACCTGTATAAGCACCCAGGTCAAGTCTCAGACTTTACATTCTAGTCGAAGGTGATAAACAGTAAACAACAGATAAGCACAGTGCAGGAAGCAGTTGGATGATTAGATTGTGACTGTAGTTAGAACAGGCCTGTCTGAGGAAGGAAGATTTCATCTGAACTCTGAATGACAGGAAGGAGCCGGCCATGCAGGGATCAGGGGGAGAAGCATTCTAGGTTGAGGGAGCAGCTAACATGAAATTCCTAGGATAGAGATGAGCTTGATGGGCTTGAAGAGTCAAAAGGCGACCGTTGTGATTTGAGCATAGGAGGTGACAGGGAGAGAGGGCAGTGAGGTTGGAGAGGGAGAAGGGAACAGGTCCTGGAAGGCCGCGTAAGCTCAGAACAGGGGATTTGTTTTGCCTTCAGAGTACAATAGAAAGTCACTGGAAGGCTGCAGACAGGAATGACACAATTTCGTTTTTAAAGAACTTCTGGCTTTGGTATAGAGAGAGCATCGTGTGGGGCAAGAGAGAAAGCCGCCTTCCAAACAAGACGTAGTAGTAGCTTAGACCAGAGGGGTGGTAGAGGCAGAGAGAGGTAGACTCCTTTGAGTTTCATTTTGATGGTGGGGTCAATAGGACTTGGTGATGGATAGGGAGGAAGAGATGAGAGAAAAAACAAGAGTCAGGGTAACATCTAGACTTCTGACTTGAGCAGTTTTCCTCTATAAAAGCAACAAGAAACTAAGTAAAAATCACTAGGGAATAGAGTGAAGAAACGAAACTCTCAGCACCTAGTGTGGCCAGGCACTGTGCTCAGTGCTGGGGAGGCAGAGAGAGAGAGAGAGAGAGAGAGAGAGAGTAAAGTCCCTGCCCACATGTTGTTTAGAACACAGTAAGCATCAAAATGTTACCGATCTAGATGCAGTGTGGAATCCTGGAACAGAGAAAGGACATTAGTGGGAAGACTGGTAAAGTCTGGGGTTTACTTAATGGAAATGTTGGTTTCTTGGTTTTCGGAGCATGAATAGTTCAGCCTCAGTAAGGAATGGGAAGGCCCGCTCTGTGGGCACAGATTCTGAAAGTTGGGTAGATGCGAGAGGGAACTTGGAAAGTTTTCTCTAGACTAATTCTCTGTTCTCAGTGAAATGTAAGTGGAGTCATCTGCTGAGCATGGGCACAGGGAATAGTGCAGGAGGTTTGAGGAGAGAGAAGGAGTGAAAAGTGGGTGAGGGAACGAGCAAGGAAAATTGAGATTGGTCGCTGGGTTAATGCGAGGGTGCGCTCAGGTCAGTGGTCATGAATTCACAGTGAGACAGCGCAGCACTGTCTTGTCTTTTCCTCCAGCCACTTTCAGCAGTGTAAGTAGAAGGGGTGGAGGGTTGAATTTAACTAGGGTTGGGATTTTGTCAGAGGAAATGGTAGAGAGTTGAAGATGTAAGCAAGGGAATGATTATAATGTTAAACCGAGGGTCTAAGCTGGGTGAGGGAGGTCAGGACACAGGGAAGGTAAGGTGAAAGGTGTTAGGGTCACGATGGGGTTGAAGAAAGGGTGAACTGGAGACCAGGAAGGGGTGTTTGGAGGGCACATGCCTGGCTCTGAGATTGAAGAGGGGCACAGTTACTAGGAACGAGCAGGTCTAAGGCATGACGATGGAAATGGGAGGCTGAGGTGAGTTGGACGACAGGGTGATTGGAGGAGAGGTGGTAAGGAAGCTTAGGGTGAGATTGTGCATGTTGAACCATCAGGAGTTAGGACCAAAGAAGCACGTAAGATCATTGGCCCACGGTGACTGCTGGCTGATGCCAGACTGGGATCCAGATGGGTAGCTCCAGGCCTCACTGGTTACTGTAAACTCAGCTCCTTATTGCACATACAGGTCAGCTGGAATGCTGTTGATCCAGAGGGCACCTTGTACTGTGGTTTTTTTCTTTTTGTGTTTTCCTTACTAAGCTTTAAGTTCATTGATGGCAAGAACCATCTTTTCTATCTATAGATCCTCAGTGCCTATATATGTATGTTGAATTGTAGTATAGTGTATATATGTAGTACATGTTGTAGTGTTGTGTTGAGTTGAGCTTCCCATAGAGATGTATGTGGATTTGAAAACTATTGGACTAGATTGTTTGATTTTTTTCAGATTGAGGGCCCATGAGGACAGGGAGCTTGTTTAATTCAGCTTTTGCATCTCCTCTGCCCGGCATACTCAGTGATGTTTAGTAGAGGCTATCTGTGTCTTTTTATCTATATCTATGTGTATCTATCTATATCAGTGCATTCTGCATTGATAACAAAGATGACTGAAAAACCATGTTTTGCTGATTTATTTTGTTGTTTCCTTGCAGTCAAAGCACCTATCAGCTTTTCCTTCCCTTCTTGACTACCACAGAATATGATCTATGACATTATTTATCATGATATGGTAGATAGAGGCTCCTCAAAGGGCTCTTGGTTCTTAACATTCTTTTATACCATTGAATTAACAGTAATACGTTTGTTTGTGGCCTGCTTCCCTTAAGTGATAGGTATACATAGACTGTCCCTTGGCAGTGTATCTTTTCAGCTCAAGCAGTGAAAAACTAGAAATAAGTTTAGTAATAGAATCATCCAGAAGCCCTTGGAGTGCTTATAATCAGATATGGGTAATCATTCAGTGAGCTACATTTCCATATTAGATATTATTTAGAATTATTTAATAAGATATTTATTTCTTTATAGGCTATGTGAAAAAATTGTTTTACTGCAGTTTGGGGAAATTGGAAATTATCTGTATTGTTTCAGTAGTGACTTTATATTAAAATCACAACCCAACTTAATGTTTCTGCCTAATTTAGGATTATTTGATAAGGGGCGAACATTTTAGGGTTCCTTTTCCAACTTCTAAAAGGTAATTTCAAAAAATGTATTTTGAAGAAAATACTGAGAAGCATGAAGTAGAATCTGAAAATTACTAATAATTCTATCACTAAGAGAATTACAGTGAACATTTTGATTTATTTACTTTTAGTCTTTTTCTATGTTTAGATATGTATTTACTCTTACAAAAACTGGTTATATTGCTTTATAACTTTTTTCTATAATTTTATTTATTTATTTATTTTTTCCCCCAAAGTCCCATAGATAGTTGTATGTCATAGCTGCACATCCTTCTAGTTGCTGTATGTGGGACGCGGCCTCAGTGTGGCCGGAGAAGCGGTGCGTCGGTGCACACCCGGGATCCGAACCCGGGCCGCCAGCAGCGGAGCGCGTGCACTTAACCGCTAAGCCACGGGGCTGGCCCCTTTATAACTTTTTTCACTCAAAAATATATCAAGAGTGGGGCTAGCCTGGTGGCATAGCGGTTAAGTTCGCACGTTCTGCCTCGGCAGCCTGGGGTTCACGGATTCAGATCCCAGGTGCAGGCCGACGCACTGCTTATTAAGCCATGCTGTGGCAGCGTCCATATAAAGTGGAGGAAGATGGGCACGGATGTTAGCCCAGGGCCAGTCTTCCTCAGCAAAAAGAGGATTGGCATTGGATGTTAGCTAGCTCAGGGCTAATCTTCCTCAAAAAAAGAAAAAAAAAAGATTCAAGAGTAATCTTATGTTATTTAATTGTTTTTGGCCTGTCATGGTGAGTGCATGCATAGAATTCTATTGTAAAGGAGGGTCAGTGTATTTAATCAGGCTTCTACTGTTTAAAATGTAGACTGTATTGTTTCCCTTATATCGGTAACGCTGGAATGAGCATACTTATGAATAAATCTTTGAGCACATTCTTGGTTATTTCTTTAGAAAAGATTCCTAGGAATAGAATTTTCAAATTTTTAAGCTTTTATATTATTAAATTACTTTCCAGAAAGAATGTACCAATTTGTGCTCCAAGTAGCAATGTATGAGAATATCCATTTACCTTTCCAGCACTGGATGAAAACAAACATCAAATCGATTTACGTGATAGTTATGAACAGAAAAGAAATGCTATCTCACTGTTTTAATTTGCCTTTTATTAGGCTTTCTGTGAAGAATTGGAATCAATGATACAGGAACAATTTAAGAAGGGGAAAAATCCCACAGGCCTGTTGGCATTACAGCAGATTGCAGATTTTATGACCATGAATGTACCAAATGTCTACCCAGCAGCTCCACAAGGAGGAATGGCTGCGTTAAACATGAGTGAGTAGTTCTCGACTCTGTATTCATGCTCAGTCATTTTCCAGGTAAAATTTCCTGATGCTTTCTCGTGTGAAATAGTTGGGCACACAGTATGTAATACATAGAATTGAGTTTTTTGAAAATTAATGTGTGTTAGTTTATGGTAAAAGATAGGCTGTAAGCCTGAAAATGTCTTTTGAACATACAGGACTCTTTTTTTATGAGCCAGTGAGACTGTTATTTCTCAGGCAGATGACTTCTAATGTGGCTTCCCTTTGTGAATTAAAATAAACTAATCAGAAATAATGCTTGTGAAGTAGCAATTCATTTCAACCAGGTCACCATTTTTTTTTTTTTTAAAGATTTTATTTATTTTATTTTTTCCCCCCAAAGCCCCAGTAGATAGTTGTATGTCATAGCTGCACATCCTTCTAGTTGCTGTATGAGGGACTCGGCCTCAGGATGGACGGAGAAGTGGTGCCTCAATGCGCACCCGGGATCCGAACCCGGGCCACCAGCATTGCAGTGCGCGCACTTAACCACCAAGCCACAGGGCCGGCCCAGGTCACCATTTTTTATCCACCATTCCTCACTGCTGCTTGCAAATGAGTGAGAGAGAGAAAAATTCCAGAAGAAAGCCAGAGGAAAAATGTTGGTTGGGTGAATGTGAGCAAAGAATAGTTACTCATGCAGAAGTGGAGCTTTGCCATGGTTATTGAATTTGTAAACGTTCACATGACAAGGTGAAGCCCAGGGTAAGTTGAGCATCAGCTAGTTTGACCTGCTGTATACTGTGCCTTGGATCAATCTCTGATGGTTCTAGTTGGATAGTCAGCCTCTGATGGACCAACGTAAGGTATTGGTTTCTGTTAGATCACCTGGCATTTGCTGTTTGTTCCATGGTATTCTTAGAAGTTGACTGACATTCACCAGAGTGATATATCATTAATGTCTAGAGAGTATTAAGAATCACATTTAATTTACTGACTCAAACTTCCATCCTGAAGTCAAATGGCAGTCAGTAAGGTTTTTATGTTTTCACACGAATTGTTTTTTTGTGTGTGTGAGGAAGATCAGCCCTGAGCTAACGTCTGATGCCAATCCTCCTCTTTTTTCTGAGGAAGACTGGCCCTGAGCTGACATCCATGCCCATCTTCCTCTACTTTATATGGGACGCCGCCACAGCATGGCTCAACAAGCAGTGCGTCGGTGCGCTCCTGGGATCCAAACCAGCGAACCCTGGGCTGCCGCAGCGGAGCGCGTGTACTTAACCACTTGCACCACCAAGCTGGCCCCTCACACGAATTTTTAATGGATTCCAGTGATATTTCATGAATTAGATGATAAAAAAATAATGTAATGTATTTACTTGTATATTATCTTCTAATCAGGGATAAAGGAAATTTTATTTCAATAATGCCATACCAACAAACGAAAGGAAGAAGGAAAGAAATCCAGTTACAGTCATGAGTCACTTAATGACGAGGATATGTTCTGACAACTGTGTTATTAGGAGATTTTGTCGTTGTGCAGACATCATAGAGGGCACTTACACAAACTAAGATGGTATAGCTTACTACACACCTAGGCTATGTGGTGCTAATCTTATGGGACCACCGTCATATATGCAGTTCATCATTGACTGAAATATTGTTGTATGGCACATGACTGTAGTTTTAATTTTATCTAACAGTTAGTTTCTCAATAATAAAAATTTAAAGACAAATTTTACCCTTTGTTGTAAAATATAACATATATAAATGGCATGGAACAAATGATATATAACTTAAGAATGAGTTTAAGGTGAACACCTTTATAACCACCATCCCGGTCAGAAATAAAGGTTTATCAGTTGCTGGCCCTACCCTCATCACCCTCTGAAAAGAAACTACCATCTTGACTTGGGTGGTAATCACTGGCTGGCTTTTCTTTATGGTTTCATTACCCAAATGGGCTTCCTAAATACTATGATTTAGTTTTTGTCTGTTTTTACTTAATGTCTCTTAAGCCTTTTTAAAGCTACAAGTTACCCCTCCGTCTCTTTTTTTTCTCCTTACACTTTAAATTTAAAGAAAATGGGTTTATTGACCTGTAGAGTTTGCCACAGTCTGAATTTTGCTGGTTCCATCTCCATGGTGCTGCTACCATGTTCTTTTGTCTTCTCTATTTACAGTAAATTGGTAGTTGGATCTAGAAGCTTTACTGTATTTGGATTCAGTTTTTTAGCAAGCCTTTCTTTTCTTTTCTTTTTTTTTTTATTGTGAGGAAGATCGGCCCTGAGCTAACATCTGTGCTAATCCTCCTCTTTTTTTTCGCTGAGGAAGACCGGCTCTGAGCTAACATCTATTGCGCATCCTCCTCCTTTTTTCTTCCCCAAAGCCCCAGTAGATAGTTGTACGTCATAGTTGCGCCTCCTTCTAGTTGCTGTATGTGGGACACGGCCTCAGCATGGCTGGACAAGCAGTGTGTCGGTGCGCGCCCGGGATCTGAACCCGGGCCGCCAGTAGTGGAGCGCGTGCACTTAACCGCTACGCCACGGGCCCGGCTCCTTAGCAAGCCTTTCTTCATAGGTGTTCTATCCATAGACACATAAGTCTGGTTGTTTCTTTTTGTGTTGTTAGCAGCCATTGATGCTCAATGCCTAGATCCATTAATTTAATAAAGCTTCTAAGGTTGTGATATTTTAATTCTATCATTCCTTTCTCTATATTTATTAGAATATTTCTGTAAAGAGAAACTTCCCTGGGAAATGGGGCACAGCTGGAAGCGGGGGTCACCCCTTCCCCCTCACTCAGCGCATATTCGTGGGGAACCTGATACTAAACCATTCCTAGACAACCTGCTTCTGGGTCAGGGTTTTGTGTGCAGCAGAGCAGCTTCCTCGCTAAGATCTATTGAAAGTCAGCCCTTGACACACACACAAAAAGAAACTTCCCCTCAGCTCTTCTTGATTACCTAGTGGTACAGTTTGTATAGGAAGGTTAACCCTTTCAAAATAAGAATTTGGTTTCCTGTCACCCTTCTAAGGTGACCAATTATTATTATTTTTTTAATACTATTTTGAACTCGTAGATTTAAATGTATTTGATATGTTTCAAAACATTGCAGTTGTCCTTTTTGATACTCGCATTGTCCCGTCTTGGACCAGTGGAAGCCTCTCCGAGTTGCTCCCGAACCTGGTAGTCTTTGACAGCTTCCAAGTCATCTCCCTTGAGGAGATGTTCTAGGCTCATTTTGGACATTTGCTACTCCAGATCTGGAATCAGCCATTTCTCTAAGAAACCTTGATTTGTTTTTGTGGGAAATAGAATTTTAGTCTGGGTGCTAGGGATATTCATTGCTACTGAGTTAGTCATTCTTTCTAGGCCTTTTTAGTGGACAGAACTAGGAAATAAATATTACTGTGAATTATATACTATATTAGTATATTGGAATTATGAGTATATTGGAATTATACTCATAATTCCAGTTAAAATTCAGTTCTCAGGGGTTTTTACTTAATCTCTTCTATCTGACATTTGTTCTCCTTTCTTCCACAACAAGAATTCTGGTTCTCGAGGACACCAGGAATAACAAAACTAGAATATTACATAATTACTCATTTGCTTTTTCCCACATATCACACACAATACCAGTACTATACCAACAATATGTTCTCTCTTTGTGTGTTAAAATATACTCTGTTGTCAGAGCATATAACCTATTACATATTATGATCTTCCCCTTTTAATGTTCATTTAGTGTTATAATTAATACCTTAATTCTGTAATAAATATATGTTTAATGCTCACCACCAGTCCTTGTATCAGTGTCCCCCTAGTCATTTTGGTTGTCTGAAGTTCCTTCTGTAGTAGACTCTCAGAAAACACTTGTGGAAATGATTATGTCTGAGTTCCTGCAGGCTGTGGCTTTTGTACCTCAATGTTAATTGGTTTGGTTAGTTTGGGTGTAAATCCTTGGCTCACATTTTCCTATTTTATGTATCTTAAATACATCATTTGTTTTCTTCTGGCCCAAAGTCTTGCTATTAAAATTTGAAGATAATCTTTCCATATAAGTGACTTGGTCTCTTTTCCTGGATGCTCAAACTATTTTTTTTTTTCTTTAGAGTCCAGCAATTTTACCAGAATCTATCTTAGTGTTGGTCATTCTGGGTTAATTTTCTCCCATGTTGTGCCCTTCCAAATCTTTTTTATTTTAGCAATATTTTCTTGAATTGGTTTTTAGTATTTATTCTGTTCCCTTGCTTTTGTTTCCTTCTTCAGGGATTCCTGTTATATGCATGTTGGATTTTCTTTGTCTCTCTTCTTTAACTTTTTTGTCACTTTTTCTCAAATCCTTTTTATCACTTCCTTCATTTCTTTATTTTTTTTTATTTTTTTATTTTATTTTATTTTTTTGTG